GGCGCGCCCCCCATCGCCCCGTGCCCGCCGTGCCCGGGCCCCGCCCTGAGCGCGCCCACCAGCCTCCCAGAGCCCCCTCCTCTCTCCCAGCCCTGTCCTTCTACCCGCGCGCTACCCCAGCTCCCGCATCCCCGCTGCAAGGACCTACTTCTTCCTGAGCCCCCCCTCCTCCCAGCCCCTCTCTCAGCCCTGGTCGCATCTCACAGTCCTTGCCCCTCCCGCAGGGTCTCAGCCCCTGGTCTCTGACCCTCACCAAGCCCCCACCCACCCACAAAGTCCAGGTGCCCCAGAGCCTCTGTCCCCTCATCAAGCCCTGTCCTCATTCCGAGCCCAGCCCTACCTGGGCTCCTGTCCCTAACCCAGGCCTAACCGAGCTCTCACCTCCCCGGCCCTGTGCCCTTGCAGCCCCCAGCCCCCCAGTGGCAGGCCCTCTCTGGGGGGGTCAGCTCACCAGGCCCCTACCCAAGCTTCATCCCTGAACAGCGCCTGTCCCTAACCACAGCTCCAATCCCGGAAGGCCGGCTTTAGCCCCCCTGAGCCCAGAGTCCAGGCCCTTCACTCAGCCTCAGCCCACGCCGATGGTCTGTTCTTTCAATGAGCCCTCCTTCTCCCCAAATCTGACCCCACTAAGCCATGTCCCGGCTCCTCCGAGCCGGCCCCACTCACCTGTCTCACGAATTCCAGGCTCAGAGCTCCAGTCCTCCACTGGCCTCGCACCCCAGTAAAACCCCTCTGCCAGGGGCCCAGGTGGCCTTCGAGCCCCTGATCTCTCCCTAAGGCCTTGTCCACCACCGAGCCCTGAGCCCCAGCTCTGGCAGCCCCTGCCCCCCCCGCCCAGGGCCGGTCCACTAATGACGCTTTGCCCCTCACAAGTGGCTCCCCGGCCCAGCCCCCCTCCGAGAGCACCTCCACCTACCCTGCCACGCTCATATCTCTAGGCCTGCCCACATCCCGGCAGAGCCCCCTCCCTCCCTCCAAGTCCCCCACCTTGACAAGCTCCTAGGCCCTGGCACCCAAGTGCCTTCTTCCGGCCGGTCTTCAGCATCTGGCAGCCCCTCACCGTGCCCCGGCCCCTCAAACCCCCTTTGGAAGCTGGGCTGAAGCCTGGCAGCCCCATGTCTGCTTGCTGGTCCTCTCTCCTCTGCATGGAGCCCCCTCCTCCCGTGAGGCCCCCCTCCCTGAACCCTTTCCTCTCAGACAGCCCCTTCCTTCCACAATGCCTCCCCTCCCCCCACCCCTGAGCCCCTGGTCCTCTCGGAACCCCCTCTCTCCTGAGCCTCTGTGCTCTGAGCCCTGTCCCCTGCACAGGCCCCACCCCCCTCCACCCCCACCCCTTCCCAGCCCAGCACCAACCCGGGACCCTGGCACAGTCTCACCCATGCATGCCAGGACCCCAAAGCCAAAGTCCACCTTCAATAATGCTGATACAGGCCTCTGCAGTGGTGGTGGGGGGGTCCCAAGCCCGAAGAGACCCCCACTCCTCCCTGGACACCCTGGCTTCACCCTCGGGCCTGCCAGGGAGCCAGGATCCCATTCTCCCTCTGCCACCTCCCATTTCCCGAGGGCCTGGTGCAGGGACGGCCTCCTATAACCAGGTGCCCTGCTGACTGTGCTTACTGGGCAATCCACCCCTGGGCGAGGGCTGCAGACCTGGTGTCCATGGGCTGAGCCTGGTCTAAGGTGCCCTCTCCATTTGCTCGGGGTCTGTGCTGGGTTCCCGGGGGCAGGCACAGCCTCCATGTGGCCCTCACTTGCCCCTGGCCCTGTCCCCTGCTCTGGACAGGCAAGCTGCAGTGAGCACCCAGCAGGTCCTGAGGAGCCAGGGAGGGCTGGGGGCACCAGGGAGGGCTGGGGGCCCACACCTGCTCCAGCTCACAGCAAGGGGAAGGCAGAGTCAGGCCCCTCTCTGCACTGGGCACCTGTGTCTGAGACCCCTGCCCATGAGCTGGTGAGATGGGGGCTGGACCCAGACAGGCCCAGAGTTGATCTGCACCAGGACACAGCTTCAGGCAAGGTTGGGGGGTGGGTGGCTGGGAAACACCCAGCCGGGCTCCTGGGGGCTGGAAAGCAGGGCCCCGAGGCAAACGGAGAAGCCTGTGCAGGAGGCCCTGCCTGCCCTCTGTTAGATGTCAGAGTCCCCGTCTAGTGGGGCGAGAACCAGGCTCGGTCCTGAAGAAATGGCCACACGTCACTCAGCTAGAAAACCCAGGGGCTGGATTTGAACCTCCGAGGACAGACAGCTGTGCCACATGAGCAGCAGGCTCCGGGCAGGAGTGGCAGTGCCCTGACCAGCCCTGGAGGAGGGGCCGAGGGCCCCGCGGCCTGCTTATTTGGCCTCACCCAGCTTGTCTCCTCTCCTGCAAATGGGGACACAGCACTGCCCCAGACCCCGACGGCATTAGCACTGGTCTGTCGCCCTAGCTGCTGACGGGCAGGCTGTGTGGGCACAGCCGGCAGACCAGGCCAGGCAGAGGCGAGGCCACCCTGGAGTTCAGCCTGCTGCAAGGCTCAGGGCAGCTTCCGGCTCAGACGACCAAGACATGCGGGGACAAGGGGGAACCGAGGGAGCCTGGAGCAGAGGCAGTGTCTGGGAAGGGCAGCTGCACGCCTGCAGGGAAGACGCTGTCTCAGCCCGGCCGGCTGTGCTCAGGCCCTGGCGGTGCCCACTCATCCCAGAAGCCCTGCCAGCCCTGCAGAGCACGCCCAGCTGCCTGCTCGGGTTTCAGACGCAGGGAACACAGGGCTCTCGCCAGGGAGCCTCCTCCTGATTCTGGGCATATGCTCCCGAGACGTTCTCCCAAGATGGCAGCCGTGGGGCACTGCACTCCCAGATCCCTAAGGCCCGGCGCAGGCACTGCCCGGCAGGCTACAAAGGCCCAACTGCAGACAAGCGCTTAGGCTTGCCTTGTCCTCCGCATTGGCCGGGGGTGGTCTCCGAGCAAGCAGACTGAGCTTGCCATCTCAGGGGCCCCTGCCCCCCCACTCCAAGTGCTCACGAACTCCTACTCATTCTGTAAAACCCCACTGCCCTGTACCTCCTCCAGCAGATGCTCACACCCCCGAGTGACTGCAGTCGTGCAGCACAAGGCCGTGAGGGGGACTGCACCCTTCCCGACCCCTGCAGCCCTGGGGGCTACTTCATCATCTGGCTTGGCTGGGCCAAGAGGGGCTACAGCCAGATCCTGGCAGAAAGGAGCCCCCATCTGGACCGCAAGTGGGGTGGGGGGTAGCAGGAGGTACACTGAGGCCTGCTCCTGGTGTCTCCTCCAAGGGAAGGGACCTTCTTCAGAAAGTTGCTTTTCATGAACACCCCCCACCCCCCACAAAAAATAAAAAAACAGGCCCCAGCACAGGGCCCCCTCAGGACAGGGAGGTTTGCCTTCCCTGCTGGCTCCATGGCCACAGCCACATTCTGCTGCTGGTCATGAGCCTGGGTCCCCGCCAGCAGCGGCTCTGCCCTGATGCCGGCGAGCAGGGTCTCCAAGGTAGGGCTGCCAGCAGGCTGGGCACCCACAGCACCCTCCCCAACCTGGCAGTGAGTTAGCCCACCCAGCGACAGCAGCCCCATTTAGAATCGCCCACCCGCCAGGCACAAAACACACCAACGCAGAGGCCCAAACAACTGTATTTTCTCGTCCATGCAGGCTCAGCTACTCAGGAGGGCAGTGGAGGGCTGCTGCAGTGGAAAGCCAGCGCCAGCATCCAGCCTTGCCAGTCCCACCCCACGGGTCAGGCCCTGACCCCAGACTCCTCACTGGCTCCATCCCCTTCCAAGCCCTTCCTGCCCATTCCCAGGCCGACAAGCCCGTTCCCTGGTGGGGCTGGGACACATGGATGGTGGGACGGTGGGGGTGGCAGAGCCAGGCTCCAAGCCCCAGGCTCGGGAGGAGCAGGGAGGACAGCTTGGGGGCTCTGCCCAGGCAGCTGCACCTCCAAAAGCAGTAGGTGGATGTGGGGGAGAGTTGGGGGGGGGAGGGGTCCTCACTGCCGAGCTCCGGCTGTTCCTCCCAGTTGGTCAGGACCCTCTATCAGACAGACAGACAGAGGACAAGCAGGCAGGCAGGCAGCATTTCTGACACCGGGACAGTGGCTGTGAGTGTGCGCACGTGTGCAACTGTGAGGACGGAGGGAGCGGGGGCGCGGGGAGGGCTGGGGGCCCCCGTCCCAACACCCCGCCTCTCTGCTGTAGTGGAAGACAACTAGATCCTGGTGGCCTCAGCAAAGGCCACGGTGTTGTTGTCCCGGTCAAACACCGTGTAGTAGCGACCAATGAAGACGTCACCCAGGATCCACAGCGGCCCGCCGGGTGGGGAGATGTCCATGCCGATGAAACCGCTCAGGCAGATGGTCTTCCCGGCCTGTGACACCTGCAGGGCCGAGGGGGTCAGTCCCATCGCCCAGCCCTGCCATGGGCTCCAGAGCACCCTCGTCGGTGTCCAGGCCCCACGGCTGCCCCCCAACAGGTGCCCAGGCCCCGCAGCTGCCCCCCGCAGGCGCCCAGGCCCCTCGGCCCCATGGTCCTGGCTGCCCTGCCAGGTGCCTGTACCTTGAGAACGTAGTCCTCTGACTCCAATGTGTAGGCCTTGCTACCCAGCTGCAGGGAGATGGGGGGCAGACTGGATACCTTCTCACAGGGGATCAGGTACTGTGGGGAGAGGGAAGCAGGTGGTAGGCGGGTAGCCACCCCACCCCTGCCGTCTGGCGCCCACCCCCACCTGCCTGCCGCGCGGTGCTCACCTCGCCCTGGATCAGCGGCACAGCACCCAGGGCCTTCTGCAGCTCGGTGATCTCCTCCACTGGGCCCACCATCAGGGAGGTGCCCGTGTCCACAATGGCTTCACAGCCACCCTTGCACAGGGTCAGCCCGTTGCCCACGTCCACCCTGCAGGGGGGAGAAGATGAGCTCTCACCTGACCCCGGCCCTGGGGGCCCTGCCTCCAGCCCAGCCTGGCTGCGGGACTGGCGGCTCCCAGCGCAGGGCTCCGGGCCCTTTTCAAGACGCCTGTACTCACTAGCAGGAATCGGTGCCAGCTGGGGGAAAGGGGAGTGAAGGGAGATGGGGGGCAAGGCCTCGGGGGGACACAAAATCTGCAAGAGCAGCTGTGGGGCCTCACCTGGCCACCAAGTATGTGGCTGTGCGGTGAAGAGACCTCGGGTCCCAGGAGCCCAGAGCTCGGCCGGGGCGGGTCTGAGGGCAGATGGCTCACGGGCGCTCAGGACCGGGCACCAGCACCCCCACAGGCCACCCTGGCACAGCCCTGAGGGTCCGCAGCACCCCACTCACCTGTCCATGTGGATCTGCCAGTAAGCCTTCCGGGTGACTTTAATAAAGTTCAAAGGGCCCTTGTAGTACTTGGAGTCTATACCACCCAGCATCAGCTCGCCCCCGGGCTGCACTGTCGGGTCCCTGAGGGGGAGAAAGCGAGCAGTCAGACTGGGCTGGACAAGCTTATGCCTGGGGTGGGAGACCAAAAGTCAGGTATGTGTGGGACAATCATGGGGACTTCCTGGAGGAGAGGCCCTCCTGACCGGCTGGGGTGGGAGGGTCCAGAGCACAGGAGAGCTGAAGGAACAACTTCCTTCTTCCCTGGGGAGCGGCTCCATCTGCACACTGTGTGTGGCTGCTCAGCACGGCTGGGCCCCACTCCCTCCATGAGAACCTGCTCAGGCCCCCTGGGGCTCTGGTCTGTTCAGACACTGAGGTACCAGCAAAGGACAAGCAGGGCCACGCCACCGGGCAGGCAGGGGTGACAGCCAGGAGCCCAGAACCACGGCGGGCTCCCTGGAGGCAGTGGCCATCCAACACCAGGAAGTGAGAAGGTACATTCCTGCCCCAGGATCTTTGCACTGACTGTGCCTAATTCCCAGAATGCTCTACCACCCCAATCTCCATGTGGCCAGCCCCCCTTCAGATCTCTGCTTCTGCCTACTCTGCTTCCTGCCTGAGCCACTGACCACCCCTCCCACCTCCCGTCCACGCTTGTCCTGTGTCCACCACAGCCCACTGAGAGAAAGTCACCCTGGGGAGTCTTCTCCATGGAGGCCACCCCCCCAGGCACAGTGACCAGCACCAGACTAGTGACCACCCCAGACACTGACCAGCACCCAAGCACAGTGACCACCCATGTGAAGATGCGTCCACACGCCAAGGAGCACCCGGTGGCCGCCAGAAGGCGGGACAAGGAAGGACCCTCCCCGAGAGCCTTCAGAGAGCATGGTCCAGCCGACACACTGACTTCAGACCACAGTGCCCGGACGGTAAGAGAAATGTCTGCTGTTGAAAGCCACCCACTTGGTCGCACTTTGCTAAGGACGTCCTACCTAACAGCCTCCAAAGAGAGCCCAGGTGCAGGGAAGGCGGAGGGAAAAGGAGCAGAGTCTGGCGTGGCGAGGTGGGGGGCCCCACCCAAGGCAGCCCAGAGTTATGCCCAGGCTCCAGGCGAGAGACAAGGGGAAAGAAGGGGCGGGGCGGCCAGGGTGCAAGGGTGGTTCAGGGCAGGAAGCCTGCTTCTGAGGGCGGCAGCTGCTGACTCTGGGACCCAGCCCCCACCTGGTAGCACAGCCCGGGCCGGGCCACCCCACCCCTACAGCAACACCCACAGATGGCACCCCCGTGAATTAGGAGGTGCTCATACGCAGGGCCTGCAGCAGGACCCTCCCTGTCCTAAGAGGAAACCAAGCCTGAAAGAGAGAAGACCCTTCTCAAGGTCACCTCTGGCCACAGGCCACCTGCTGCCCTGTGCCACGGCCTGATGTGGGCTCCCCGCCCTGGTAGGAGGGCCCAACAGCTGCCACGTGGTGACCGGGGCCAGTCTTCCCGAGCAGTGACAGCCCCATGCCCCCCACTCAACACCTGGCTCTCACGACCCACCTCGGGCACCTACCCCGGGACACCCCTAGACCCACCTGTCCACTAGAGCGGTCAAGGGTCAGAGCCATGCCGGAGCACCCCCAGACTCAGGGTACACTGGGCAAACTGAACCCCGAGAAGGTACCACCACGCCCCGTACTCTAGCCAGAACCCCCCTTCTCCCTGAGGCCGTTTCTCCAACTGTAAGAAAGGTGGCCGAGCCCTCCCCCAAGGACACCCCAAGGCCATGAGTCTGGGCTGCAAAGTGTCCCAAGCCAGATGGGGCTGTGGCTGGATGCGCCTGGGGAACTGAGCCCGGATGCGCCTGGGGAACTGAGCCCAGGACAGCGCTGGGAGGAAGAGAGAGGCAGAGTCAGGCCCCACCTGTTCAGGTAGAAGGAGAACACGTTCTTCTCCAACACCTTCTGCTCCATGAGGTTGTCGAAAACGGGCACCACGTTGTTGACGGAGATGTGGGGATAGGCCATGCCCAAGATGCCGTCAAACTTGGCAGCAATGAACGTGACACCCGGCTGCTTGGTGGCCTCCCCAAAGGTCTGCCGCTCCACCTTGACACCTCCCAGGGCCGAGGCCGAGCTGCACGGCACCTAAGGGCCACACCAGGGATCAGAGGCCATGGAGGGGGTTGGCAGGTCACTTCGCTAGTCAGGGGACAACGGTGAGGTCAGCAGGTCACACCAGGGGTCAGCACACCATGAAGAGGATTAGCGAACCACACTGGGGGCCTATGGGTCATGCCGGGGTCAAAGGCCACAGTGGGGTTCAGTGGACCAGGAGTCCCGGCTGAGCTCTGGACACCTGGGTCCTGGGCTTGTTCTCATCCCTCTCCCGAGCCTGGGTGGCCACACCTAGGAAGCCCACACTAACATTGCCCTCCCCGTGTTCACATGGGTACGTGAGCGAGGCAGAGGCGGCCTAGACAGGAAGGGTTTGAAGAACACGCAGTGAACGCAGCTGCCCAACTGGGGACAAGGACGTGGGGCCTGTGTGTCCCCTGCTGGCTCGCCAGGGCCTTGTTCTCGTAAGAGGTGGGCACTGGGGGTAGAGAGCAGACCCTCGTTCCCCAGACTGGCCCCACCCCTGGGCTCAGTGACAAGAGGCTGGGGGCCCGAGGCCCCGCCACCCCCCCAGCTCAGGGCTGTGGCTGCAGATAAGGAGGCGGGGGCAGGATGTAGGAGAGAAGGCCGTTTGGCGCTGACAGCACGGGTGTCGGTGTGTTGGGCCACATCCTGCCTCCAACAGAAACCCAGAGAAAACAACGCCCCCCAGACAGCCTTGGCAGCAGATGGGCGAGACAGGGCAGGGGACCAGGGAGTAGGGGGCCACACCAGGGACGGTCCCCACCAGCGCTCACGGCTATAGCCCCGGGCACTGCCACCACAGAAGAACCCCCTGGGCCCATCCCACCCTCTGGAGAGGGGAAGCAGAACCCCAGCCCAGCCCTGCCCCACCGGCAGTGTCTGTGGGGAATGGCCCCCCGCCCAGAACTGGCTTGGGGGCAGTGGTGGCAACACACACGCAGGACTCAGAGGATCCTGATCATCCTCTACCCAGGGCAGGTTCCCCAATGCCCACCCCCCCCACCGAAAACCCTGTCATCCTGTATGGCCCCTTGGCCGGCAGCCTCACACAGGACCCCTGGCTCACCTCAGCCTCTCCTTGGCCCCCCATCCCCTCGGCCAGCTGCAGGGAACCCGGACACCCCCAGCCTGGCCCTGACCACCCCCCATTGGCTCCTCAAACCCCAGGCATCCAGGAACCCCGTGCGCTCTCCCCATCTGGACATGGGCCTCTCCACCCCATGCCCGGAGCCAACCTGGGGGGCTGATCAGTCAGATGTCAGAGCCAGGCCTTGTCACTGCTCCCTCACGACCGCTGGGAATCCCAGGCTATCCCCATCCCCCACATGCACCCAAGACCTCTCGGACTGAGGTGCCCACCCCACTCTCTCCCTCTTCCTCTAGGCTCTCACCTCCAGTCCTTCCCCTTCCCCTCCCCCCTCCCTCCCCCAGCTGACAGCTACAGCTCACCCCACAGCATCCCTCCAGAGCGCTGTGGCACCCGCCCTGCCCTGCCCTGGGGTAGGGGTGCCCCGGCACCAAACCCTCTCACTCGGCCACACGCACTCGGACGGAGGGTGACCACCCTCTCCTCGCGAGCACCCAGCGAGTCTCACCGACACGGTGTCCTGGCTCAGGTACCCAGAGAGGCTGCCCGAGCCGTAGTGAATGTTGAAGGTGGTGCCGTTCTTCACGTAGGTGCTGGACTTGGCGCTGTCGTACTTGTGGTGGATCCCTGGGGGCAGGGGGCGTCGGCCCGTCACCCCGCAGCCCCAGATTCCGACCCCAAGGCTGGGACGACCCGGGCTGCGGGCTCACCCACTGGGCCCACAGCAGGGCCATCCCGGGCCACCCCATCGCCCCAGACTGGGAGAAGCACAGAGGCGCTGGAATCAACAGGTTCCCTAGGGAGCGCCACCCCAGGGCGGGGCGGAGGGGTGCACATCCATTGTGGCCAGGTGGTGGGAGCAGCGCTGCCCCAGGAGGCCCGGGAAGGGCAGCTGCCTCCACCAGCGCCGGAGGAAGCATGGGTGCGAGTGTGTGGGGACACGGGTCAGCACACCCCACCCCAGCCGACCTTCACCCTGCCTGCGCCTAGAGCCCGCCACCCTTGCACCAGCCAGGCCCCTGAGGTGGGTGGGCACTGGAAGGGCCCCAGGGTCCCCCGAGGGACAGAGTGTGGACTCACAGCAGGCGATGTCCAGCAGTTTGCAGTGGATCGAGGGAACCCACAGGTTGGAGGAGCCGGTGTCGAAGACAACCGTGAAGCACTGCGCGGGCGTCCCGATGCCGATCTCCCCGTAGTACTGGGCCTGGGCGGAGGGGGCCGTCAGGGCGGCTGGGACGCCTCAGGGCCCAGGACCCGCCGTCACTCTGCCCGCCTCGGCCCCGCCTGGCACCAGACCCTCTCCAGGAATCAGGTCACCAGCCAGCCCTCTTGCTCAGAGGTACTTGGACCCCTCTAAACAGCCACAGCTCCTGTCTGACACCCAGGAGCCCAGAAGGAGGGGGCAGGGCTGCCCCAGCGATGGAGGCCCCCTTGGCAGCCCCTCGCCTCATACGGGAGCTATGCCTGCCTGGAAGCCCCCTCTGTTGTCCGGAGGCCCAGGGCCCCACAGAGAGGCTTCCTTCCAGGAAGGGGGCCAGGCCAGGGCCCAGTCTTGGGCCTCGGTTCCCGCTCTGCCACCGTCACAGAGCTCCCAGAAAGAGGGCCAGGCCAGGGCCCACTCTCGGGCCTCAGTTCCCATTCTGCCCCTGTCACAGAGCTCCCAGGAAGGGGGCCAGGCCAGGGGCCATTCTCGGGCCTCGGTTCCTGCCCTGCCCCCCACCCAGAGCTCCCAGGAAGGGGGCCAGGCCAGGGCCCACTCTCAGGCCTCAGTTCCCACCCTGCCGCCCCCCCACAGAGCTCCCAGAAAAGGGGCCAGCCAAGTGTTGGCGGGGGGGCCGCCTTAGAGGGCGGCAACTCTGGCTTTGAGTCACTCATCAGCCGACCAACCCAGCCTTAACTGCCCTCGGCCTCAGTTTCTCCATCTTTACAAAGGGATAAAGGGCAGCTGGGGGCAGCCTGGGGTGCTCCCTGAGGATCAGGTGAACATGTGGGGTCACCTGGCCTCGAAGCTTTGAAGGCCAACTCCATTCTTGGCCCTCTCACAGGACAGTAGGCGTGGGGGGTCCTTGGTTTGGGGTTATCTGGTCACCCCGGGAAGGAACCACTGGTTGGCAAAGGACTTGGGCTCCAATCCCACTCATGTCTCTCGGGCTCGGCCACAGGCAGCCCCACCAGCTGAGTCACGAGCCAGCAGAGGTGCCCAGGTGGAGGGGAAGGGGGAGGCGGATGACTCAGCAGATCACCCACTGACCGTGCCCTGAGGACCAGGGACCGGTCAGTCTGCTGACAGACGGCTCCCCACCCACTCTGCCACCAGCCCAGTCACATGCCTGTGAGGTTCGAGCTTCCTGTTACAGCCAGGGCTCAGGCCAAGCTGGACAGGGGTGTACCATCTGTCCCCCCAGCAGACCACAGGAGCTAGGGCTGGCTGGAGAGCTAGAGAGGAGCTTCTAGAGACTGGGGGCGGGATGCAGACAGGAAGGTACTGAGCTGCCCAGACACCCCAGGCTCTGGCTCAGGACTTGTCCCCACAAAGCTGGGGCCAAGCCAGATGCCAGTTTGCTGCAAGGCTTCTACAACATTCCATCTTTGGGCACGTTCGCTCCTCAAACAGCAGTGGGCACAAGAAGGGATGCTGACTGAGTATGAACCAAGTCGGGTCTCAGTCGGCATCCTTGCCCCACTGTGCGTCCTTCGCAAGGAGCCAGGCTTCAGGCCCAGCTCCTGTCTGAGGCTCGGACACCTGTCCTGAGCTGACCGTCAGCCCTGGCACTGGGGCTCAGGGCAAGACTCTTGCTATCCCTGACGACCCCCAGCCGGCCCTCTTAACCCTTGGGCTGGACCACGACCAGCGGTACAGCACCCACTGGGAGATCAGGAAGCGGGGCTCGTAGGGGAAGGGCGGGGCCTTGGCCCAGAAGTGCTCCCCCACCCCCACTAAATAGGCAAATACTCAAAACCACAGGCTTCTGAGAACAAGAGGAGACAGGATTACCAAAGCTATCCCAGCTCACTCGGAACTGTTTGTGAGAAAGCGGACATGTCCCCATCCCGACAACCACCCACACTCACATCCATGTAGTTCTTGAGCATCTCTGGTACAGGACCCTGGGCCACAGCAGAGCCCCTCTGGGAGTATTTTGAGACGGGGTTCTTGGAGATCAGGTTTTCCACGGAGACGCCCACCTCAGACAGAGTCCGGCGGATGGACGTGAACTTGTACAGTGGGATCCTGTGGGAAGGACGGAAAGAGTTGCTCAGCCGGGGCTGGGTCGAGTCCTTCCCCCACACTCACAGCCTGCCCAGCTCCCACACAGCTCCTCCAAGGGGTTGTCCGCAGCACCCCAACTCAGTACGCTCACACCAATGCCTGCTTTCCGTCTGAACTGCTCAACAGCTAACCATCAACGTCCACCCAGCTGCCCAGGCCAGAATCTAGGAGCCTCCCCGACGCCCCCCTCACACCCTGCATCCGACCTCAGCCTGAGTCTGTCCCCTCTTCCCCTCCTCCGCCCCCAGGGCGCCCAGCCACACCGTCAGCCAGACCACCAGCTGCCGTGGAGCTGCCCCTGACTCGTGAAGACCCACAGATGTCTGAGCAGAAGTGGGCTCCACAGGGTTCTCAAGGGCTGATTTTTTTTGGAAGTAGATCACCAGGCTTTCCTCCCGACGCACCTCCGGGCAGACTCAAACCTCCGACGTTTCAGTTAGGAGCCGCGCACGTTCACCGTTGCAGCACCTGGGGACTCCCAGCCACAGCAGGGCCCCGAAAGCCCCCTTGTGGGTATGCTGTCCCCACTCCCTGTCCAGCTCCAGCCTCTTCTACAGATGGCAGCCACTGGGTTCTTTTTAGGGCACCAGGCAGGACCCACTACCCAGCCCCAAGCCCCCCAAAGCCTCCACTGCACTGGGTCCGCCAGCCACACATGCTGCCCTCCACCAGACCCCGACTGCTGAGACGGTCCCTGCCCCCAGGCTGGCTGCCGGCCTCAATGACAGCCCCCCAACCTCTCTGGGGGGTGGGGGGCCTGGTTTTCACCATCAGATGGAACTCCACTGTCACCTCCTCCATGACCCCCTCAGCTACCCTTCACTCCACCCCGTTCCTTCGAAGTGCCCCGGCCAAGCGTCACTCCTCACCGTCACTGCTCACCGGCCCCTCTCCCACTTCCCCTCCCTCCCCTCCCCTCCCCCACCTCCACACAGGTGGCAAGCCTGCATCTGGAGGTCCACCTTCCTGCAAACACCTCAGAATGCCAGCCAAGGCACCCCCACTCAAGGTACCCTCTGAAGGAGCCCTGCCCCCAGCGGAGCCGCCCCAGGCTGAAGTTGGCACTATGGGAGCTGACCCACATGTTGGCTCCCTCGTCTAACAACTGGGGTGTAGGGGACTGCCGCCCAAGACCCTCATGGCTGTCTGAGGCTGCCCCTTGCCCCATCAGGAAGGAGCTAGGACTGGGTGCTGTACACTCAGCCACCTGGGTGGAAAAGCCTCCAGCCCTGGAGATTTGCAAGGAAACCAAGGTCACCACTGGCTCTCCCGGTGTGCCAAGGGCGTGCTCCAGGGAAATGGCATTCTTGCCTAAGAGGTGTTGGCTGGGACAGCCCCATGCTCTTGCCTGGGGGTGGGACGTACCCTCCACTGACAAGGAAGCCAGAATGTGACAAGTCACCTGACCCAGGACTCCCCCACTGCCATCCCCTCCCTCCAGGAGCAGGGGGCCGTGGGCAGGCCGGCCAGCCAGGGCAGGCTAAGGCCTGCAGCCTCCCGGCCGCAGCCCACGGAGCCCACGGAGCCCACACTGGCCAGCCGTCCTGCAGAGCTCAGCCAGCCCTCAGCCCTCACAGAGCGCAGAGGTGAAGGAACGTGCGGGCCTGGCAGAAAGGCCCGGAGCAAGGGTGGTGTGGGGCAAGGCAGAATGGGGTGGGGCCACGCTATCCCCCAATCCTCGGGGAGCAGACTACAGTAGTGAGAGATGGGGGGGTCTCCTCCGCCTGGCTGGCACTGTCCCTGGCCCAGGCTGGCAGTCAGCGGCCCGCGTGACACATGGGGACAGACTCCTAGGCCCCAGGAGAACGTCGTCTTCTTTGGGACAGGAGGTGAGTGGGGCAGCCTGACCCAGGCCTGGACCGGCTGGGCCGCTCACATCTCCTTAGGTCTACCCCCTCCTCTCTGGGCCAACCCGGATTCACAGAGCCCCTGGAAAAATCCTGCGAAGCTAAGATGACACCCCAGTTCACGGCTGGCAAGGGGGCCCCTAAGAGATGAAGGCCCGCCCAGGTTCAGGGGGGCCTGCACCTGGTCTGCAGACTCCCACACATGGGCCCCAAGCAGACACACCAACCCCACCTGTCCCGAATCAGCAACACCTCCTCCCACCCCCTGCCTCGGGACCTGGGGACCTGGGCCCCTGGGAGGCTGGGGTCATCCCTGCCCCACCGCCACCCTCCTGCCTCTGTGACCTCCAGGCTGACCCCATGGTGGGGGTGGGGGCGCTCCGGCGCCTCTATCCCGAGTCGCCAGGCACCCCTCGAGCTCTCGGCGCCCGTGCGAGGGTGGGCCTGCAGGAGGCCGCGCGGGGGCGAGCGGCTTTCCAGCCGGGCGGGGTGAGGGCGCCGGGGGGCGCGGGGACAGCAGGCCCGGGGAGGCGGCCGGGCTCACCGGATGAGCGCAGCAGCGGGGCCCAGCAGCAGGCCCAGGGCGAGCAGCAGGAGGGGGGGTGCCCGCATGGCGGCGGCTGCAGGTCCGAGCCGAGCAGAGCACCTACGCCGCGCGCTTATAGCCGGGATGACGGCGCAGTCCGCGAGTCAGCTGACCGCCTTGTTTGCGCCGGGCCGGTCACGTGGGCCGCGGCGGCGTGCGCGGGCC